GGAGATTGGTTGTAGGCAATAATCGTGGCTCAAGAGATCACAAACCAACTGAATTTAAATTAAATGGAAAGATAAAAGCAAGTGTAAAACTAAAGTCCTTCATTTCAAAGGGAGGAAATAATAAACTAGGGAAAGCAAAGCTATGTGCACAGGGATGTAAAGAAGAAATGAGATTCCTCATAGTAAAAAGGGAAAAAAAAAGGAACTCGTTTTTAACTTACACAAATAAATAAACTGTTGAGGAAGAGTAAAGATGAGTGACCTTAAAATAGATTTTTTTTTCAAGTCTTTATATGTAACCCCCCAAAGTTACCTTCATCATTTCAAACAGCTACCCCAAAGCTTGTTTCTTCTCTTTCTTTAAACTCCACTGTACAAATCCAGCTCCTCTAAACAATATCAGTCTTTCTATTTAAGCTCAGATATTCACCATTTTCAGATTATACATTCCATGAAAACAACATATTCCTTAGGAACTCATGAATATTTAAAGATAATAAATTAAAAGGATAATAATAACTGAAATGCATTTGAATGTATCTTCAGAAGAACATGGAAGTTGGTCAAAATTTGGAGAAAGAAAACAACTTTGTATACTGGGGGGAAAATGCAAAAATTGAATATTAAACTATGCCAATGAAGTGATTGAATTACTTTGTAGTAAAAATTCGCTTGCACCAATAAAGACTGGAATCTGGAAATTATTACTTCAGTTTACTTCAACTTTGCAATAATATGGTCTTAAAAATAACCTGCTAGTGATGTGACGAACAAAGGTTTTGACAAAAGCTACTAAATTGGAGTTCCCATTCTGTTTGAGGGTCTCTGGAAAGTCTGTTACTAAATGAGCATACTGAAATTATGCGTAGCACTTCAAACTTTATCAAGTTACAGCCAGAAGAAATTAATAAATAGGCTAATAAGTGTGTCTCTATATATATGCATTAAAACATATATATATATACATTAAGACACATACATATTCTCTCTCTCTAATTGTATAAATAAAACCAAAGGAAACTTTTTACTAATACATAAAATTCATATAATTTCATGGCTTTTAGGTTTCTTTGGCTGCTCTCTTATCAATTGTAAGAGAGCTATTTCTTTATCTAAAAGGGATAAAGGATTAAGATAGATCAGTGAAGCCTGATTAAACTAGCTTAACATTTCTGTAAACAAAGGAATACAGAAATGGTTCAAAAGGCAAAAATACAAGCCACATTCAATGGACTTGCTGCAAGTAATTTCTGAGGAACAGCACAGTGGAAAGAGAAGCAAAAAAAACCACAGGGGATAACCTGAAAAAAACAGCAGCTGTCCGCATGATTCATCACATGCTAAGTATGTTAACAAGTATGTAATAATTTTAATATTTCTTGAAATATTGCAACATTTTATCAGCTTTTGAGAGAAACATATGAGTAATATCATAGAAAGGCTGAAACAATATTTTTACAAAATGAAAGCTAAAACATTTGGGGGGAAAATAACCCTTCCTTTGATATTATTCTAACATATTAGAAACACCGATCTCTTGCTGAGCACAAAAAAAAATAGAGCAGGTCCAAGCTGCCTAAAATCCACTACAATAAAGTAATCTAAATACTAATGGCTGAAACCTCCACTGATAAAGGTAATAATTTAACTGAGAATCGGATCATGTTATAACACAGAAGCACCTGCCTCCACTATAGATGGCAAAGATGCCAAGTTCCAAAAAAATGGACTTTTTCATATACCATTCCACAAGCAGCTCGCTCAAATACGCTCATCCTCAATCCGGATAAACAGATTCAACCTAATTATTTTACTTTGCTAATAGCTATTCTAATCGAAGACTAGAAACAAAATTGATGATATCTTATTTCATAAATATTTTTCCATGGGAAATATTTTGAAGATCTACAAATCTGTTAAAGCTTGTCATAAACTGCCTTTACTTTCCATACGTAAGTAGGTCATCCATATAAGGTTTTCCAAGGTTCTAGCATTTATCATTATATCCTGTTATTTTTTTCAACCCCTATACAGTAGGATCAATTATAGTAGCTCTTATGAAAAAAAAAAGATATTTCCCTGACGGCAGACTGAGTAAATAATTTTTTTTTTCACCTATGGGATAACAGTCCCCACTGAATGTTTTGATTAAATTATTTTTTGGTTTGAAATGTGCTGGTTTGGTGACTCCCAGAGGCAATGACAACAACAAAAAAGTCTTTCAGCTAAGAAGAAAAATTTTCCTTTTCTCCCCCTCTCCTTCCCGCCACAACATGCTTACCTTTTCTTACTGACCAGAGTCTTTCCATAGCAAATAGAACATCACTATCACGCCAAACGATTAAAGGTGAGTTTTAACTTAACCTGTGTATAAATACAGAAATTCACTCTCAGCTGGGGGTGAACGTACAACAAAGGCATCGTGAGCCTTATTGGTATTTAATAAGAGCTCCAAGCTGGAAAAGCTACTTGACTCTAAGAGCTTGTCTACAGTTACAAACCTCCTGGAACAGTTATTCTGTAGAAACTTTTTCCAGAATTGTTATTTCAGGGTGAACTCCCATGTGGACACTTTGATTCTAAGAGAAAAGTGCCTTTTCCAATTTTATTATACTACCAACATAGTACATCCAAACAATTTGGAACAGAGAGATCTTTTTCCAGAAAGAAGTTATCACCTATGGACTCATATTCAACTAACTCTTCAATTACACACACACACACACACACACACACACACATATATATATATATATGTTTTGTAATGGAGGAAGTATACATTTCAGTTGATTTGATTTACAGCTTCCAACATTATAGGCTATGACTTGGCAAACAAACAAACAAACAAAATCCTATGTAACTTTACAGCTTTCCTCTAATATTTTACTGACTTCTGGCTTCACTATTACCACTTCACTGTTTGGCTGCCTTCAGTCTGCACACTCAGACTTTCTGCAAGAGCCTGACTCTGAGGAAAACTAGTGTCAGAGATGCAGGCCTCCCATACAACCCAGTGAAAATCAGTAACATGAGGTATTATACAGTGAAGAGATGAAGACATAAACAACGACTGAGAAGAAAGTCATTTTGAAGCTTATATTGTATTAACAAGCCACACTTCTAAATAAATTTTACAGGTGCTAGATGGACAGTTGCAGCATCTGAAAGAAAAAGGACATTGAATACAGCTTCAAATAAAATTAAAATTAGGGGATTTATGAAATAAAGTTTGAAACTAGTTGCAACAACTGTCCTAAAAGTTACAAGCAGCTCCTAAGATTTGCTTTGTTTGTTTTTCAACCGTTTTTGTTTTTTTGAATTCATAATAAAAGCATGCACTGGAAATCTGTCCTGATAAATGTGCTGGCACAAAAGCACGTAAAGAAACATCTGATGGCAAAGAAAATTTAAGCAAAGCAAACAAATATCTTAATAGATTGAATGATTATTCTTTTCCTTCATGTAATATAGTTAATATATGTGTACTTAGAGAACAAGCCTTATGGTCTCTTTAATATTCATGTCTTACATGTTCATGGATAACTGAACCTTTTCATCCTTGTGAGTTACTTAAGACTGAAAGAAAACATAAGTTATGAATTTTAAGTTATCTTGCTAGTCACTTTCCTTAGATAATTTGTACTTGAATCTTTTCACTGGCTCCCATCTTGCTATCTGACTCAAAGCACACTTCTTGTCACCCATGCCATAATTCAACATTGCTCTGAAACTACTTATAATCTTTTCATTTCCCACTAACATTCTACTAATTATATCAGCTTTTCCACTTGTCACCTTTTCACTTTATTTGTCTGTATGCCTTTTCACTTACTTTATCTTCCATATGTTCCATATTCCTCCATCTTTCAGCTCCTGTTGAAGAGTTATTTTTGCATTTCTTCTAGCAGTATTTCAAGCTGAGTTACATTAACATGTAGACCAACTTTTAGAACTCAAGAGAATATAATTTTCTTCCGCCTCTGGGCTATTTGCCTGGGAAAAAATTACCTTATTCATCCTATTTATACCATCCAAAGATCCTCCCTCTGTTTCTCTAACTTCCAAATGCTTCTAAACTTCTAACGCTTCTGTCTGCAAACTACCTCACCTTCAGGGAGGGGTATATTGTAAAAAAACAACTCTTGCACAGAAGAATGCTCAAAACTTCACATTGGAAAAGCAATTAAGTACAATCATGCAATTAAGTCGTGAAAGTTTCCATTCTGCACGTTTTCTTAAAGCTTTGGTTCTTCCCTTTGGAAATTAGCACGTCATATTCGACAACAGGAAAAAGATTGTACAGAAAATATCTTTTTAATATTGAACTGCTTTGTTGCTTTAAATTCTTTAGAAAAACACGAAATGGTCTGTTAGTATTAACTCTAAACTGTAAACTCTTGTACATTAGTACAAGAACAGGATTTTTCTTTATTAGACATATTAGATATTAGATATAATAATATATTATATGTATTATATATTAGTATATTTTTCTTATATATATTTTAAATTACAACATGCACAGTAATCTTTCTGGACCTGCTGATGTATGAGTCCCTGTTTATATGATGGGCACGTTATTACAGTTACACAGCCACACAATCTCATTTAACTTTGTCAATGGAGAAGTGTGGGGAGTAGCCTCACAAGATGGGGGTGGGGGGTAGTTCCTTAGTTCCTTTATCTCATCAATAGAGATGTGGAATAAGCTAGACCAAAAAAAAAAAAAAAAAAGATTATAACATGGCAATGCTATCTAGTGAAGTATAACGCAGTTTGTACATATATGAGCATAGGATAATTTCCTTTAGTTAAAAACATTTTTCAGCCCAACTCTAGCCCAACTGCAGTGATACAGTTTAAATATGAAGTTGTAATTAATAAACTGAGTCTCCACAGGAAATAATCAGGCATACGAATAAAAAGTAGAATAATTAAATAGGAAAATATCTAATCAAAATGAACATAAGGCTAAATGAACATAAGACAAGGCTACTAACCCACAGCATGAACTGTTCCTCTATGCTTCTTTGAAATCTTGCTTGCCTTAGCTACAGGTAGAGCATTTTCTTTGAACTGCAGCTCACAAAGCCTTTCAAGAAGAACTGTCATTTCTTCAGTGATGGTATCAAGATAAGTTTCATTAATAAACTTCAGCGATGAGGAAGGATCAATAGCTCCACTTAGTATGTACAAGTCCTCTTTTATCATTGTGCACAATGTAGGTATGGAATTTTGGTAACCATGAACCACCTTATCAAAATTTGTCTCACCACAGCTAGACAGAAGACAGTTCTGTAGAAGATCACTGACTAGCTTATTCTGCATATTTTGATATCTGCTTAGGACTTCTGATTCAGGATAAAGAAACAAAAGCTGCTGTATGCACTGTGTTTTGAACTGCATTTGTTGTTGTAAAGCGTTACTTTCTGCTTGACCTTGACTTTGCAGTCTGTTAACTAAAAATCGACGGAGATGTAATCGCACATCGTCCCAAAGAGATGTAACATCCATGGTTGAATTATCCTCAATGGCATGAAGAGAAGACGTAAACTCAAAAGATGTCCCACTTGGAGTACAGGGAAACGAGACACCACATTGACTAGAGAGATCCAGAAGGAAGTGAAGTATCATTTCTTCTTGATTTTGTTCATTCGTGAGTAAGGTTTGCTAATAAAGGCAAATTAGAGAGTATTTCAATAATGTTTTCTTAACACTGGTTAATAAGATTAAAAACTTTCTGTACTGGTACTAATTATTTCAATTGCTAATTATCTTATCGGCAAATAAGAGACTGAAAAAATATGATCTTCATAAAGAACAAAAATAACAAGGCTTTTTTTCCCCAAGGATTTATGCCCCAATCTATCTCCTTGTCCACCAACTCCAATAAGTCCACATTTCCCTTCCCATCTTTCATATCATTATTATATTATCATTAGATAAGCCTTAGCAGGTGATGAAGCCTATCTACTTGGGTCCATGGACAGATCTTGGAAAGAAAATGGCATGAAAGATTACTTAGGATTTACGAGGAAGGTGGCAGGCTTTGCTCACAAAAGCAAGAAAGGAATTTAGAAAAGTGTGTATTGTTGTTTTCAGTGTAGTGGTTCAGCAGGTGACCGTTAAAAAGGCTGTTTAATAATTAAAAAAATTGTCCAGGCCCCTCAAAGAACTAAAATCAAGAACATGTTAAGACTTAGGTCACACAGGGCAACACAGTATGGAGCTATGCATCTTCCAAACCTAGATGCAGCTTTACACATTAATAAGAATTAAAAAGGATCGAATGCGAATGTGGCATTATTTAACTGTAACTATTCCAAAATACAAAATGTTCAAGCTTTCTTCTCTAGTAACCTTTTTTGATATATAATTTATATTAAAAAAGCAACACCTATCTAAACTATTGCACACTTAAGAAAGAGAATAATAACCTTCCTACTGCCCTCTATCCTAGAGCGTACCATGGTGCAAATTAAAAAGTAAGAATAGCACCATATTATCTAATTCTGAACAGAAGACAGAGACCAAGATTGTCTTCCACAAAAGGAAAAACCTTAAAAATTAACTAGCTAGCTATTTTCCTTCTTTTCTGCATCTTTATTTCAGGATGCTTCATATGAATTTTTGGGACTTATGAAGACACACTGGTAGTCAGAGAGGAAATTTCTAGCCCAATAGGTAACAGTTTCTAAAAGCATGTGCATGTGATAGAAATATGTTTACCTAGATAATACTTTATATCACATTTAGCCATAGGCATATGCATAAAGTTGACCTGTTTTTCTTTTATTGCCTACTAAAGGATTCTTAAAAGTTTTGTGGCTCCAACAGTGTTGTCTCAGTTCGTAAATTATGAGCAATAACTACACATTGGAAGTGCCAAGTCTCAACGTGTTGACTTCTGGAGTTCAAGGATTATTTTTTATGAATTATGCTCATATATTCTACTCTGAAACAGATAAACAAACATGCAAGAGAACTCTAAAAGCTGTCATACTGCTGAATGTAAATCATGCCTTTTGATGATGAATCCAGAAAGCTTCATGAAGAATCTGTTAGGATTTCTAGACGGCTTACAAATACATGAGAATACTAGGTTAATAATACACCTAAATGCAGCACCTCAGGCAATGGATATGCTGTACTTAGCATTATATTTTAAAAATGTTCTGGCAGTTGAAAAGATAAACAAAATCTCTAACAAAATAAACACGCATAATGAGATATAATAATGGATAGGGATATTGTTCCTAAGTAGATAGAGGGTTACTATTATTGAAAATGTATTACATAGTTATTTAATTAAAAGCTTGCAAGTGAGAAATTAAGTCAACTGAGTAATTAACTTCAATGGATGCAGTTACGCAGTTAAAAAAGGTCAGGTTGTAATGTTCTCATTAATGCTCACTGCTACGGAGAGCAATTTACTGTGGAACTGTTTATGGAGTTAAGGATTATCTAGCGTAAGTAAAACTTGCTGTAGATGGAGCATCTCTGCTAACATACACACTTTTCATCAGCAGTCCCAGCAACACAACAATCAGGCTGGATTGTCTGATGAGAAGCCAGGAGCATGGACAAACTAAAGTCCCATTTCTCACGCTCTACAGATGTTCTCCCGACCAGCTGTGCAGAATGGAGCCTTCCAGGCTTCTCATTTCTGCCATTTGCTCCATTCTCCAGGCTTTGCTCGCCTCTACGGCCCACAAGCCAGATGATCCTGAAGTCAGGACTGTGGGCCCTGCTAAGCCCCTGGGGAGCTGAAGACGCAATAAGCACATCTGGTTTGAGATATACCCCAACTACTCCCGAAATGGTAACATTTTGGTGTTTCACAAACAAATGCCGCCACCTGGTGTCCAGGTACACGGCTTGACGAGACCTAGGAGAAGGATGAGCATGGGAAATGGGCACAGGTGAGTTACCATTGCTATGCCCTCTTATGAAAGTGCCATGTAAAGATGATGTGTAGGGATGACTTTATAATTTGAGACAATTTAAGCTAACCAGAGCTATGGGTCACGCAAGCATCCAATGGATTCCAGTGTGATTGGAAGGCCAATAGGCATTTCCAGGAGTTAAATACCTGGGAGATGATTTCATGAACCTTGAGCTTTCCTGAAGACCTAGTCCCAAAGGAGAAAATACTCCACTTATTTGAATGACTTTTTCTCTGTTAATACATTCAATTTTGGACTAAAGATGTTTGTGTCCTCCAAATAAAATACAAAATGGAAGTGATCCACGATACCAATCCACTGGATATAGTTTATGCTTATTTGCTTTAATATATAAAAATATAAATATATATGTACACACATTATATAGGCATCTATATGCACAGCTTACATACAAAATTGCTGTCTATCATTTACTGAGGTATCATTCTTCATCTATGAAGCCAATTCAATTTAACAGAATTCCACTTCCAGATACAGATTCTAAGGTGCAACTTTTCAGACAAATTTGTGAAGAAAATGCTTTCCAAAATAAGGGACTTTTTTCATTAAAATGCAGTTTGATTTCTGGCCAGGTCTTCTAGTACTTGTAAGTTGCTCCCACATGTCTACTTAGAAAAATTTTATAGCAAGTTAATGCTTAAGGAACGCATAACATACAATTATCTCTATTAGATGCATTTTATTCTATACTATGCAAAACATACATTTTATACATTTTATTCTTATACTGATGCAAAAAAAAAAAAAAAAAGAGCAGAAAAAAGTGGAATTGGCGTAGAGAGTAACTTCAGACATTTTTACCAGTATCTCTTTATAAAACAGCTAGTTCTACTTCAGACACAAGTAAAAGGAAATAAATCCAAGCAATACCTGCTACAGATGTCAAGTAAAAACTGTACTGAGTCATATATTGAAATTTGTGAACTATATTAATTGCAGTGAAGAGTGAAATAAGAACATCAATATACAGTAAAACAAAAAAACCCCAAAATTTCCCCAAAATAAAAACTTTCATTAAACATTTTTTACCAGGGTCCTAAGGAACTCCAGCAGCTCTCCATGGTGTGTAGTAGAAGGCTTGAGAGAACTAAAATTGCAGTTACTTAGCCACTGAAGACATTCAGTTGTGTCCTGTAGTAGTTCATCAGTACATATTTCATTTATTTCTGATTGTAGCTCCTTAAGACACTGTTCCACACTAAAAAAAAAAAAGTAAAGAAGAAAAAGTATTCCATTTTTCAAATAATCTTGTATTTTTTAAGAGCATACTTAGTGAAAAAGACATCATTTAAGACCAAAAAATCTTGATCCTTAGTGCTTAATTAGCTAAAGCAGAGAATATAAACTATATTCAAAGGTGAATGTGCAATGCACCTTCTTCATCAATCAATTTTTGTTTTATAACATATAACAACTTCTTATAGATCTATTGACCCATGATGGAAAATGTTGACAAGAATTTTGGAGTCTGTTTGTTGAAAAAGCAGATTTTTTCTTTCCTATTTTTTTTTTATTAGAATATTGGAATGAAAACAGCATTTGCTTTCAAGGACCTTATCTGCTCGTTAATGCTAATCATAATCCTTTTTTTGAAATCATATGCAAATTGTATGCTAATTATTGTAATTCCAGTTGCAAAAAAGTAGTTGTATGGACACTAACAAGAAAAGAACAAAATAGAAAAATCTAGAAGGAATCTAAATTATTTCCTACAGAAGTTTTCTTGGTCTATGGACTTTTTTCAAAGCCAATATTGCCTTTAAGGAGGCATTGGTCAGTATTTTATACAGTTCAGTTAGAAAAAAAGAGTGTTGACTGAATTTAGTTAGATCTAGGTTTAATACAAGCAGAACTAGAAATAAGACTGATTTAGTTCCATTCTACTTGATGAGTAAAAGGTGACTCCTTTATCTGAATCTTTGTTATGTTGTAGGTTAGTTATTTCTAACCTACGTTCTGTGAATGGTTAGAAATAACTAACCATACATAGAATGTATTTCTATGTTCTTACTGCTAAAAAAAAAGGAAGGCAAAGTTTAATCCAAATTAAATTTTTCTTATCTCGCTTACTATAAATTTACAGAACTAGGTGAGACACAGCTCTTTATATCCATTTTCATAGCACATTCTTCTGACTATGTTATCTTCAATTCTCATCACGTAGTAGAGACATCTAACTTACCTATCACACTTTCACTCAGGTCTGTTGCATAAGGATGAAATATGCTTTTCCTGTCTTTAACTAATATTCCCAAATAGTCCCAAACTTGACTTATTTTAGTAAAAGTTGGAGAAATAAAAGGTCAGATAAGATGATGATGATGATGATGACAAGGTGAGAATAGACAAGAAAATGAAAAATGGAAGAGGAGAAAAAGAAGAAAGAAGAAAAGGGGGCAAGAAAATTTGCAAACAAAATGGTTGTGTTGTTACAAAATCTTGTTCTCAGAAACAGATCCAAGCAATATACATATATATACTTTAAACTTAAATGTAACACAGAATAATTTTGTAATATGTTTTACACAAACTATCTTTGTATGGAAGCAATCCTACAAAAAAGGTAATCTGCTCTGAATATGAATAAAATAGAAATCTCAAAAACTACTAATCAATATCAATTTTGACTGTCAATCAGTGCTGAAAGGTCATTCTGCTCGTCACATACTGATTGTACTTTTTTCACTTATTTCAACCTGAGGCAATGTTTCAATACATGAAAAAAAAAACATGTATTTGTTTCTCTACTAGATTTTCTCCTCCTTTATTGAGTTACTCATATTTTTTCTTGTCCAGATGTTATGGAGTGTACCCTAAATTCTTATCAGTTATTTACTGTCTCGTTCTGATCAGCAGCAATACAATAAATCAGTGTAATCCACAGCTCTGGGAACTAAGTCTATTAGTTTGAATTGACATTTTAGAAAACTAGTGTAAAAACACTAAATTAAGTTCCTAGACAAACAGTAGTGTACTTTCCTTACTTTTGTTTTATTTTTAAGTTATATACAACAACAGTCAGCAGCATATTTTTTTCTTCTTGAGAATGATTTTTAAAAAACAGTGAATACAACACATGAATCAACACCTATCACCTCTAACGGACTTTAGTTTGTGCAAATAATTAAAATACCTTTACCTTTAAAATAATTGCAGTAAATAAAAACAACCACTCAAAGAAGAAAAATGCATTGACTACAAAAGCAGCATACAGAGGAGCCGCAAACTGCTCAATGACAGTAACATTTTGGAGGGCAGTAAAAATATGACTGTAGATAAACTGCTTCTAAAACAATAATGACTACATAACTTATAAAAACCACTGCCTTAAAGCAAGCTATTTGTTTTGAATAGTTCATTTTTTTCCAAATTTAAGTGTATTCATTAAGAATTACTGGTATTCTTGTTTTACATTTAAGAGACATGAGGTAAACGAAAGTGTATCATTTTGAAAAGAAGATGCATCTCTTATGGCTGCATTGTCTTCAGATAATAAATTCAGTAAATAAAACCAATGCCAAAATATTTAAAAGCTTTTGAAAAATTAGGAATGCATGGTCCTATAAAAGTCTCTCTAGAAAAAAAATGATTTTATTCAAGAAAATTCTGAGGGTTCAAAACAAAGTGCCCTTGAAAAAATATCTTCTCAGGAACAAGAGACCTTATCAGGAGCACAAAAAAGGCCTCAATGAAAAACAATCCCTCCCTGCCTGTGGCCCACTGGCACAGCCCAGTCATGAGTATCAGTTCTAAACTCGACAAAAGAGTTGCATGCCTGTCTAACTTGTGAAACCTGTTCCCAAGATTAGGAAACTAAATGCCTTGCTTCTACACCTTGTCTTCTGGGAGACTATCAAAGGATTCTATTGTGGCCTGTTGCTGGGTCTTATTCAGTCATACCCGAGATTACTTACCCAGAGTTACAGCACTGTGTGTGTTAAAGGGTCTACTCTTGTTAGTCTGTGTCAATCTGCTTTAGGGAGGAATGAGTTTTTAGGCTCATCATGCCAAACTATAAAGAGTTTCACAAGGCCAGATATTTTAGTAATTTGTCCTAACGCTGATAAAAAGGATTACGCGGATAGATTTCAGTGGACCTCCCAGAAGGTACAAACCATGATTCATTTTATTTAATCCTTTTATCTCAATAAAATATCAAGTTCAGACTAAAACTGTTTTTCAATGAATAAAAATACTTTCATACTGTTTATTTGCAACATACAGTAGCTAAACATGATCTCAAAAGATTGCTGTTTCTATCTTCCAAGGTTTTGTCAACACTTAATATTATATGAACACGGCAAATTGTAGATGTTTATTCCACTACATCAATTAAGTTCAATTACTATTTTAAGCATTTAGCAAAGTTCATGTACTAAACTAAGTATTTAGAAAATTGGTTACCAATGGAAAAAAAATGTTTAGGTATGTTACCTGACTTTAGAAAGCATTCATTTTAAATCATAGCTTCAGCTAAAGAGGACTAAAATTATTTTAACTGATAAAAAGTTAAGGCTGGTATTTAAACTTTTCTAATTTCACATCAATGTAGTGACGATAAGTCTTAGGTTACTTTTCTTTTTTTAAGAAAAGTTTCTGCTTTTCAAATTTGCTAAAAGTTGAAAAATTTTGAAAATTATAAATTTTTGTAAAAACATCATGGGAGAAACATCCTCAAAAATTAAGTCATTAAAATCTTAAGAGCACAATTATATAAAGCCACCTAAAGTATTAAATTCCATTTTTTTCTTTCTAATAACTTTTCACTAAGAGTTAACAAAAGATATAATGTAGTAAGTTCAGGCCAGTGCATAACTTTAGATTTCTTCAATAAATAGAAGCATCAACCCAGACAACATCGACAGGTACTGAGCACCTGAAATTCGAGCATACTTTGTCTTAAAATCATATACACAGTCAGTATAAGATAAGGTTGCACACAGGACATGATTGTATCTAAATCTGGAGTAAAACAGGGAAGTTAAACATAGTTCTAGCTTTATTTTTGCCTTTGTTTATTATTGTTAATTAGTTCTTCATTTCTACATTCTGTGAAGCGTTCTTCAAACACCTAACTCTAATGAGAAGGTGACGCATCCAGTTTGTATTTTTAATGCTCAGGTATCAAAGTTAGATGTTGCTATACCTTCCCCGAGGGGCTTAATTCTTCTATAGGACGTTAGTCCATTTGTACTACACTGAAATGGCTGTTCCTGGTTAGACTGAAATCTAGGATGTTTCCATCAGTGGTCATTAGAAGATGCCATGAACATAAGAGCAGTTAAACATATATCAGTATTTCTCAGAATGGTCTTATGGTTTCTAGCAATCTGTGACATAATGACTTAAACATAACTTAAAGCAGAGATAGTGTCTTAGTATTTAACAGCCCTCAGTAAAATTTTCTTCCATGAATGTTTCCTTTTTGAATGCATGGAATTGTTCAGTCACGAACAGAAAAGGATGATCACCAAACTACTATATTATGACTGGAATATAAAAGCTCAAGGAAAAGTCGAAGCTTGTTCTACAGTGAAGTAACATATTCACATGATATTTCCCCCAAATTAATTAGTTTTTCCAGAATGATATACAAAGTCTCATAGTAGAAATAGCTTGAACCTCTTGAGGACATGGTATCACAGTCAGTCCTGCAGGTATACCACTAGGCCTGTGACATTGTGGTTTCAACTGAAATAGTTCCTCTTCCTTAGAGATAAGAATTTCATAAACAAAGTGAACAAAAACAAAGTGAAGTTCTGTTATTTCACCTGTGTCCACAGTCGGGCTGCTTTTCTGGTATACTATGTCAACCCTGAGAAGTTTTCTTCTTTTCAAATAGAGAACTTGTGGTTGCTCTTACTTGTTGAAATAATGAAAACTTTTATGTCTTTTATTTAAAAATGTCTTTTAAATGTCTTTTATTAAGAACAGTCAGATTTTTTTCAAAAAGTCAGCAAAAATGGCTATTTATCATTTCATGTGTTCCTATGATACTTCTGAAAACTTACAGTAATACTCAGGACACAAGTTATTTTTTAGGATTTCTGCAATTCTGAAAAAAAAAGATTACTACAGTTACAGAGCTATAATGATTATAATTTTCCATTCTAGTCTTAAATCAGCAGATTATTATTTCCGGAATACTTGCTTTCTTATTCTCATTAACCCAACTGCATAAGCTAATGAATTCTTCCA